CTACATGTATATAAAAATGTGGCCTATATGTAACAATTGCAATACTATTGAATTTCTTGTGGAATATTTAAAAGGCTTCTTTTGCAATTGTCATTCTTCTTTGAATTTTCTTTTTTACATTTCCTCTTTCGTTACTAAAAGCCTTGGATACTCAATTTTAATCTATTCCAGTTGTTTAAATGAAAAACATTTGCTTTATGAACTTGTTCTTCATACAAAGAAAATAAAAACAATTAAAAAAACACCTACACTAATGCAAAATCAGATATCTAATCTAATTCCTTAAATTGTGAACAACCTTTATTGCAGGGCATGCTGGATGGATCTTTTTTTTGATTTGCATTTTATTTCTGATCCATTATCTCAAATTAATACCTTTTTTTTGTAGGAAAGCTGATATTAATATTACTGTATCTAATTTCTGAGCCATCAAAGTTTTTTATGACATGTTGCCATTCATATAATCTTTATTGGATAATGAGATTCATTCAAACTTTATTATTGAGGTGACTACAATACAAATTACACTTTCTATCAGTCAGTAAAATCTGATTTTCCTAGCAATTTTAACTTGAAGTGACTAAGAGATACAAGACTTGTTATGACATATTTTTCAGTTATTTAGTCACTATCTTCCATATTTATCTAAAGTCCAAACAAACCAGATTGAATAAATGTAACTTATAATACTTCAGCTGAGTAATAATCTATTGTTCTTTGTGTCAAAGGATCATGCTCTATGTGTACATAGAGATGGAAATAGCCTTAACCTTATGTATTGAAATTTGGGAACCAGACAACATCGTAAGGCTATATATGATTTATATATTTACTCATTCCAAAGAATATGGAAGAGAGCATGTTATCCTAGTTATGGGTTATTCTCCTTCCTTTACCTTTTTAACGTATAAAAAAACAATATGCAATTGTATTTGTACACAGCTATGGAAGGATTCCCTCTGTGTTTGGTTGTCTTTTTTGCTACTCCCCCTCCCCACGCATCTCATAGATACGCCACTTCTTTGGTCATTTCTTTACCAGTGCAAGTATGACTTTGAGCATTAAAAGATATCAACAGTCAGTTGGTGTATGAACTTTGACTTGAACAAATCACCTGACAAAGTAGATAATCTTATCAGCACACTTTGTTAGTTTTAGTGACAATAGTATCATATTGTGTGATAATTATGACAATAATTGTCTCATATAAACTTTTAGTTTGACCAAACCTCCCTTTTTAAACAAAGTAAAGCTTTAGCATACAGTGTAGAAAGCTGAATTGCTAAACTCTTTGTATTGGAGATAAAAAATTATCAACACACAAAACAAAAAGTCCAGATTCACATGACTTGCATGATATTTATTATAGAAAAACTGTTATTCGTGACTTTCATATTTTGGCTTATTAAGATGAAATATGTTTGAGGATTAATTGTTCAGAATAATAATATTAATAATCATATTTCGATGTGAGTCTGATAGTCATATAAACTGCCATAGAATCTGCTATCTGAGGTTGTATTTGTGTGAAATACAATGGGCGTGAAAATAGGGCTTTTTGTCATAATCGATTTTGTTACTAAAGACTACAGTATATTTTAATGAAAAGTTTCTTTTTACAGTGACCACATTTGAAATAATGTGCCTGGTGCTCTTTCATGTGCTAGGTTGTTTATTTTACGTTGCAAAACTCTACATGCGATAAAAAAAGTTTGGATCTCCCACTATGTCTGCTAACAAATTATTTGGCAACAGCATGATTGCAAGCTGAGCCTGTTTTTCTTTCTTTATAAACATCATAAGCCGGTTAGATATTCATTATCCCATGGAGGTTTAAAACAAACATTATACCTTCCAATCTTTAAAAAAAATTATGTGTTCCAAATTATACTCATTCTTATATAAATCACTATCCTAAACGACCATCAATTTGGGTTTTGTGTTACCATTCAACATCTATGTCATTGTGGATCTTATCTCCAACATTACGATGGCATACAAATCAAATCTCACAAGCATAACGTGTGGCGTACCACAAGGGTCAGTTTTAGGCTCATTGCTGTTTCTAATTTATGTTAACGATATTCAGTTAGTAATGTACTTAAAACTGTTTCTTTTCTTGATGATACAACTGTTTTCCTATCAGGAGAATAGATAATCCTGATCAGCTATTAACTGACATAAACCATGAACTTGTAAAGGTATTTGATTGGAGCAGCATTAACAAACTATTGTTAAATATTACCAAACTAAGTATGTGATTTTGCACCCCTAATCAGAAAAAATGCCCTAAAATTGACAATTGTTCTAAAATCAATGGTAAGGCAAGAGTTCAATGGAAAGAAGTTCAATTCTTGGAGATAATTTTAAATGAACATATTAATTGGAAAATTCATATTGACTTTGTTGCAAGAAAAATCTCTAAGTCAATAGGAGTAATAGCCAGAGTCAAACAGTTTTTTCCTACAACTATTTTACTCGCTCTTCACAATACCTTAATTCTGCCTTACCTCCACTTTGGAAATATCATCTGGGGAAGTGACTATCCTACAAACCTTGTCAAAATATATAACCTCTAAAAACGCATTATTCATATAATTACATCATCACCATACAGGTGAAATACTGAGCCACTATTTATGATAAATAAGGTACATGTACAAGTAGAATGCTTTATGTATGGACATACCCATGAACTGTTAGTAAAAGTGTTTAATGATTTATTTCAGTACACAGGTAATGTCCATCTATCGGACAAGATAATGTAATATTCTTCGTATTCTATTTGTTAGGCTGCCTAAAAGGCAATTCTCAATTTGTGTCCATGGCCTGCATGTATGGAACAATATTGACTAAAAACAACAAATACTCTTATGACTTTTAGAAACTCCTAAAAATATAAGTTATTTCAAATTATCAATAGGTACTTTTATTTTTGTTTTGTTTGTTTTATTTCATCTTTGTTTTTTTTGTTTTCTTTTTTTTTTTGCTTGTCCTTGTATCTGAAACAAGCCTAGGCTTCTAAACTGGTCAATCACCATTGTATTTCTTGTTTTTCATTGGTGAAATAAATGTGACATTGATTGATTGTCCGAAAAATTTTAAAAGATGAAAACAAATGGTACATTACTGTATCTAAATAACTGGAGTTGGTTGAGCAAATCTGAGAATTTTATTTATCGATTATTTCATTTAATTTAATTATTTCAACATTATACAAACACAGGTAATCAAATGTAGGAACTAACAGGTTGTTAAATTAAATATTAATTATTTTTTCTTTATTTATAGCAATCAACGTTACCAGTCACTTTTCTGAAAGTGAGCCAAGATGTGACGATAACATTTATCCAATACTTGAGAAGGCAGGCAACTAAAATAGAGAGAGAATGAGGGGAGTGTAGAAATTGATGCTAATATTGAACAAACTACCAGGGTAAGTAGTATAGTTAATTACATAATTTAAGATTGTAATACTAGCATACTGAGAAGGAACAATCTTGTGTCAAGTGGCCATAGATTAGAATTTATGCTTTAGAGTAATAATGAATATTTATTACTAACTACATAATTTGTATAACAAATTATTTATAAACTATGGCCTCTTATGATTACTTTATCTATAAATAATTACTATTGGCCTAAATATTGATATGTAATAATTAAAAAGGAAACCATTATTTAGATATAATAGCCTTGAATTTACCACATGTGCAAAACATCATATATTGTGAAGTCATCATGTACTATAGTGGTTTGTGAACAAACCATTATTATAAATGTAATGTAAGAACTATTACAGTGTACTGACTTTGAAGTTATCATTACACTAAATGTATATTGAAAATATTTAATCCAATTTACTTTGGGGGGTTTTTGTTGCCTTTGTATTCTGTTGCTCTGTATGCATCAAATAGTTTAAATTAACATCAACTAGATCTACACTAAACAACATTGTTGAAATATATACATACCACATACATAATTTGATATTGCAACAGTATTAGGTAGGTAGTTTATTTAGCTGTTCAGTAAATGTTGAAAGTGTTAACAATTTATTTATTGAATCTGACAATATTACATCTTGTTACAAAATTTGTTGAGTTTTCTCAGGGTCATTATTGATATTGTAGCTTTGTATTGTTTATTAGCCATTCCAACCATATATGTTACTAGTAATAATAATAATAATCAGTATTTATAATATAATGTTAATAAATGTCCTAATCTCATAATTCAGTGTTAGTCTTGTGACAATGAACAAACTTATTACTCACCCGCTGCCCTGTATTGGATATTTAGGGTCCATTCTTCGGAGCCCTGTTCACCTCTGGCTTAGTTTAATTGCCCGACACTCAGTAGTAACACATAGGGTCTGAATGGCTAATAAACAATACAAAGCTACTTATTTTTTAATCTTTTAGTGGAAAATTTGTGAATCTACAAAAGTTTTATTGCAAGTATTTGGTAAACAGCTGTGAAAAGTAGAGTTCATGTCAAAAAGTATGGAGGAAACAGGTAAATACTAGTAATAAATATTGTTGGCATTTTTGCACTATTTTAAAGGATTTCACTTTAATTCCCTGGTCATATACATTCTATATTGTCTTGATTCACATTTTAATTGTAATCTTATCTCTATGTTTTAATTTCAATGTTTCTGTTGCGCCAATCTGTCATCTTTGTAAAAAAAGTTTGCTAATTTGAAATGATGAAATAAACTATTAACTTCCAATGAGAAACTGATAAAGGAAAGTAGTTTTCATCTGATTTACAGATATTGTACTTTAAAAAATCCTTAAATTGGTTACCAGCCAATTTAATGATCTACGCAAAAGAAATTAGAGCTGCTTTCACATAGAACTGCAATATGGTTAATACCATTTTTCGCAAACGGCAGCATTCTATGTGAAAGGGTAAAACGCCTAAACGCCGGCTTAGGTTAGACTTCTTCGGGACCTAGTCAAAATACCGCATTAATACCGTAGCGGTTCATCGGCGTTTAACGCACTGAAGCATAACAAATCAGATGTCAAAGTGCGAAACATTTTTGTTGAACGTGCGAAGAGTTGGTTTTCAGATCAGGGTTGCCAATATAAAATTGCGCCCTCTTTGTTCACAGACGCAAAATACTCCTTTTGTGCGGGACCCCTTTCAGGCGGGATACGGTATTCATACCAGATTTTTACTAATTGTGCGAAAGGGTCTACGGTATAATTGCGGTATTTTCCAGGGCCGGCGGAACGTTTTTCAAAGTGGGGGGGGGGAGCACTTATAAGATGAATGGGAATTTGAATCATGCAGATCTGGAATCAAATCTAGGGGGTGGGGGTCAACATTTTTCCCAAAAATGAAAGGGGATCTGGGGGTCCTCCCCCGGGAAAAATGTTGATTTCTAGATGGCAGGAAATGACCTTTCTCGACTTTTGAGCTAGGTGTCTAATGACATTGTTCTTCAAAATTCAAGGTTTTCCCCCAACTTATTTTCCGCCTTCTAGGAATCAAAATTTTCCCGAGGGAGAACTTATCGATCCATTGAAAAAAGAATACGTATACAATTACTTAATTTTTCCACTTTTTATTACAGTAAATAGGCCTTATGTGTGTATACATACATAAAAATGTTAAAAATTTTTTTTTTCATGAATCGATAAATCCCAAAAAGAAAGGGGGTTCTCCCCTGGGAAAATTTTGATTCCTAATAGGTGGGAAATGAGCTTTATTCACAATTCAAGGTTTTCCCCTCTTGAAAATGATTTAATGAATCAATAAACCCCAAAGAAAAGGGGTCCGGGTTCCTCCGGGGAAAATTTCAATTTTTAGAATGCAGGAAATGAGTTATCCTGACTTCTTAAATGTCTTTTAAATGACTTTTTAAGTTCTTCAAAATTGAAGGTTTCCCTTTCTTGAAAACGGTCAGGTAATTTTTTCTCATTTTATATTTTATGTGTGTATACATAATACATACAGAAATAAATGATTAGTTGCATGCGTATTCTTTTTCCATGAATCGATAAATCTCAAAAAGAAAGGGTGGTCCCCCGGAAATATTTTGATTCCTAGATGGTGGGAAATGAGCTTTCCCATTATTTGAATAAAAAAAATAAGAAAAAAAGGTAAGTCTAGAATTCTTTTTTTCTTTGTTTTTGTTGCACACCCTCCCCAGATCCACCAATGTGAATGCGAGAAAATGTAACTCGGTCGGGGACTGGATAAACATTCTCTTTCCCATCCTTCTCCTCCTCCTTCCCTCTTTATTTAAGGAGAACTTAATGTTCTCGCATGCGCAGATGACTTTAGTGATGCCATTACGTCCTACTGTACCGTCGTCATGCAATCAATAGCTCCCTAAAGCACACTCTTAATTCAATCAAACAGTTCTAAATTCTTATAGTGACAATGTGTCATTTTGTCATCACCAAATTTGCATTTAGGCCAAATAAAATTAATTGCTTGTTTCACATTCCCACCCTCATCAAATTTTGGAGACATGACAAAATTTACTCTTTGCTATTTATTGAAAAACGTTTATTTTTCAATGAACAATAAAAATAGTGACTATCTGAAAGAATGATGTCAAGCCTAAGAAGAGGTGGGAATATAAATGGCAGAAATACATCACAAAGATTCATTTTACTTTCCTTTCTTTTATTTTTTTATATTTCTGCTATTTACCAGTCTGTTTACCATTAGTATAGGATAGTAAAAAGCAAATAGTAAATACACTCACCAAAAAATAATTTCAAATGCTGGACATGAAACTAACAATTAATGTTATTTGGCCTTAATGATATACAGTAGAATCAAAACAAAAATTTATTTAAAAGTAGACATTAAAATATACTTTGAACTCTGAACATTCTTAGTCTGCAAAAACCAACACAATTCCTAAATTAATCCTACATTTCTTCTAATAGTAATGTGAGTTTTTTTTTTATTCCATTTTTTCTGAAAATAAATTAGAAATTATTAAGGGTAATATCTAATTATTTTTAAATTTTGTTGTGTAATTTGAAAATTTTTCAGTTTATTGTTTACTTATTTCACCAAAAAACCATTTAACTATTTGTTTCTATTGTGATTATGATTATACTGACTATAGCGGAATTAATTTTAATCTTGATGATCAAATACACATTTGCAATTGTAATTCTGTCGCTGTACATTTCTATTTTTGTTGACTGATAGTCAATTTATTGTCACATTTTAATCATAGGACTTTCAGAGGGCGATTTCAGCCAGCTATTGGTGGATTTTTCAAGATGGTATGATGGACTTGGATACATCAATATGCTGAAAGTTCTGTACACTGATCATGTGCCAATTTATACTGATTTAATTGGAGCTACTAAGGTGATGCCCTTGCTGCAAAAGTTAATTGGTTCAGGGAATTTAAGTCAAACAAACCTCACTATCCTGTACGACACAATAAAAGTAACTGGGCAATTTGGCTTCAAATCCAAAGTTGTACAGGTACTTCAACCTTTACAAAGACTTGAGGAACATGAAGTGTCTAAGTTCACGCGATACAGACTATTGCTGTTAAAACTCGGAATGAAACTGACTAATGAAGATATAGACATGCTTGATGCACGACATAATGACATGCCTTTGTTAAAAAATTATAAAGACAGCTGGAATTTGATACTGGATCTGGAGCAAAGGAAGGAGCTTTGTGAAGATAAGATTGACAATTTCATTGAAGGATTACCAAGTTACTTGGCTGAGAAAGCTTTACTGGAAGGTAAACTGCTATATTTTTTTTTAAAGAAGTTTACCAACTTTAAACTAATTTTAGAACTGATTTAGCACTCAGATACATAATATCCCATTTCAGAACAAGAGAATGGTCGTATTCGATTGGTCGTTCTTCATTAAACCATGCCCACCTGTGCAGTGATAAAATCCTATTAATGAAGACGACCAGTCAAATAGGAACAAAATGATTGCATAGTTACCGCGATACAAGCTGCGTAATCAAGATTGCTTCGGCTTGTGGTAGTATGGATTTTTTGTAAAAGAAATGATTTCATTCTGTTTTTTAATTCTGTTAGGCTATACAATTATTTTTTTACTTCAATGTGAGTAAATATTATAATTTTTTTTTCTGAAATTTATTCTAAATTATATTAATGCAAATGTTGTTTCTAAACTGTCCAATCGGCCATGCTTGTTTTGGTCACATGAATAACTTCATGCAGATTAACGTACTCTGGTTACGTTAATTTTCGTTGTCAATGAATTCTGTTTTACGAATCAGTCAAATGAAAATAATACTAAATGAAAATTTGTAGTCAACGAAGTGAACAAGTCAAATACGCTCAATGATCATCAAAAACATACATTTATTTGTCCTTTTAGACAGATTCCATAACTTATTGAGACCTGTCTCCTTGAAGGTGGAATGAATAGTTAAAGTTTCTCCTGACTGAAATTGCTCCATTTGTGACATATAATGAAAAGTAGCCACACCAATGTAACAAATGTACACAAGCACGTTATTGCTCTACAGATGTGCTTTGCTTGGTGACTGGTTGAAATCCACTGCTAGATCTTTGAGGATGGGGATATTCATTTTACTTACCAAAATACAGTACAAAGCATATGAAAACATTTTCTTATTCTTTATATTTTGTTTAATACCCCTTCTGGTGCCAACTCTGTCCCTGTCAGGATTGGTTTTTTGCCCCTTGACCATGTTGAAGGAATTGGTCATATATCCTCTCTAAAGAAGAGCTGTCAGCAGTGTTCATTGTTCACACAATGCCCAAAACAACGAATTCTACAGTAGCTCACATCATGTAGCTTCATCAAGCTATTCATACCGTACTCGCGCAAATAAGCGCCCCAGTTGAATAAGCGCCCCACTTGAATAAATGCCCCTCTTAACATGAAAATTGTCTTAAGCACCCCATTTCAATAAGCACACCTCCTAATTTGAATAAGCGCCCCATCGCTGTTTTTTGTTTGTTTGTTTTTTTTTTTTACAGTATCATGTGATTTTTTTTTCTTTTTAACAAGCCAATAATCCAAACAATCCATGCAGAGTGGATTCACATTTTCTTGTTATGTCAATTTCAATATGAGGATATTTTCTCCCGGAAAGATGAGAGCTCCCTGGACAGTATCTCTCATTTTTCTAGTTCTAGCCCTAATTCTCTTTTCTTATTTCCTAACAATTTACACATTTATCCCGTTTCCATCTGAGTTTGCAAGCAGTGGCGGCTCTAGGATATAAATTATGGTGGGAACTAAGATGTCCGACTGGGGGGGGGGGGCTAAGTATTTATGGGTGTAATTACTATAGCCGAAGGTCCAAGCCGGGAGTGGGTATGGGAGGGGGATGTCCGGAAATGGCTGAGATGGAAAAATTAGGCTTCTTTTTTTTATCTTTTTGGTCCGACTGCCCAACGAGCTTTGGCCGATGGGGGAGGGAGGCTTGACCAGACCAATGGGGTAGCCCTACTTATATTTTCTTATTTCCCAACAATTCGCTCGTTTATCACTTTTCCATCTGAGTTTGCAAGCAGTGGCGGCTCTAGGATATAATTTATGGGGGATTACGATGTCCAGCTGGGGGGACTAAGTATTTATGGGTGTACCTATAGCCGAAGGCCCGAGCTGGGAGTGGGTATGGGAGGGGGATGTCTCCTCCTCCCAAAACGAGATTAAAAAAAACAAATTGGGACTTTTAGACTAGTAGATGGCCGGAAATGGCTGGGATAGAAAAATTAGGCCTATTTTTTTTTCTTTTCGCTCCGACTGCCCGACGAGCTTTGGCCAATGGGGGAGGGGGATTTACCAGACCGATGGGGCTGGGGCTTAAGCCTCCTGCCCCACTGGCGACGCCACTGCACCCCTTCAATAATCATGCTAATCTCAATCGGCAGATAGTCAACAAGCTTATACACCACCAGCACCACCCTATTACTACTGTTAAAACTCGCATTTTTGTCATGAGCCATGCTCTCTGGGCGATTTCTTTTCTGAATAACTAGAGTTGTAGTAAAATTCCAGTCAGTTCACACACAAACAATAAATACCAGTACCCAAAAACTAATCATTTATGCTGAAAATGGGGATGAGGATATTAATGATGATCATTATAATGGAGATGATTATGGTGATGGATGATGATAACTTGACTCTACAGGGAGAGATTGCTAATTTTGTGGATGTTGATTTAGCTCTGTTTGTATGTAAATCCAAAAATGGAAATGAAATTATGAGTATAATGAACAGAAAATGGATTAGTCAATAAAATATTTTTTTAAATATAAAATACATGTAAATGAACTATACAATGCTAATGTGAGCATAAATGTATAATATGAAAATAAATACTTCAAAAATATATCTATATAAATAATAGCAGAATTATATTATTGTTGTTTGATTGTCTATTCCAGACATAATTATCAAAGATTCCCTGATAAAAACGCAACAAATATATAAGGATTTAAAAAGAATGACACCATCAATCTGGCATAAAAATCATGTTGTAGATATTGCAGAAACATTTACTGAACTCATCTTACATCAGTCAACAAGAAAAGGCAATAGAGAACCAAAAGAGTATATAAAAAAGCAAAACAAAACATCAATACACATCAAAATACATAAAATTGTGCTTTGGAATGAGTAATTGATAGTAACAATAACAATTATTCAATAAAATCAATATCAATATCAGAGTAAACGCCCGATGCAAAGCCTTCAAAGACCATCCCCAGGTACAGTGTGCATATATTTTAATAGCAGTGGCTATTAATAATTTGAATAAAATAATTTGAATGAGAAAAGGTTCCCTGTCAATCTGTGGACAATTATATGATACCTTTCTGTATTCTTTTGCATAGACCTTTAAATTGACAGCTTGAAAATGTTAATCAATTAAAGTTTTTTTTTTGTTTTGTACTATGGCCAACCCTATTCAGGGGACACCCAGTTTGTTTTTTTTTTGTCCCAAGGTGTCCTCTTATAGAGGTTCTACCACATATTAAGAATTACTGCTTATAAAAAATAAAAAAATGCTGCAAAATCTAAAACTTATATGACTAGTTTGTATTTCAAAATTAATAAAATAACTTATTCTTGAGGAGGACCTGCCATCTTCAATGCATTTCTGTTATGGTATGACACATAAACATAACTTGATAATAGCCTACAGATACAGGAATTGGTTTATGAATGGTGTAACAATAGCCACTGCATTATTTACATTGCGGTCACAGGATTAGAATAATTAAAAGCCCTACTATCTACACAGTCATGTACATTAGAATTGCGGAAAGTATGTGTCCTCAAAGTAAAATAAAATGTAAAAGCAATGAAAAGTTGATGTACAAATTCGGAACACAAATTTATTCATCCATTATCATCAATCGGCGTTTCTGCAAAAAGCATTCCAAGTAGATTGATTTCTTTCCAGGGACAGCAGATCTTCAATTACTATGGTTTAACTGTTAGTTTACTGGCCGAATTTGCTTATTAATCGTTGAGATCCATGTGTATTTTAAAATTAAATAAATTTATTAGGATAATTTGAAACTGATAATTTGATAGCTCCTGTTATCTTAATTAATGTTAAAGTGGTAATCTATACAGTAGTTATATTTTTAAAACAAAGGTGTTAAATGAGCTCTAAAACTGGAAAGTGTGATGCATCTGGTACACGTTTTGAGTACTTAATAATAGTTTCAACTATGATTAATAAGTACAATCCCATACTTACAATACCATAAATCAAAGTAAGTGTAATAAAGGAGTTTACATAGAATATTTAATGGCTCTTCCAACTGCTCAAAACACAGGGCCTTAACTTAAAGAAAATGCCAGTTCTCATTGTAATTTTATTATTCAATCAGAAATATGGGACTTTTAGATGACCGGAACATGTATATCCCATTTTAAATTACTTTGGATGGTTATTCTTAATAATTTTATTCCATTTACTGGCTCAATTCTGGTACTGTTAAGAGTAAAATTGTGATTAGGAGTATTACTGTACTTTGAAACAAATTATTCTGAATTGTGGGACATTTAGAATGCATTCTTTACTTATTATTTTATGTAGGTAAACTTTAAAACAAAGTCCTATTCTATGGTATTGTTATATATTACATGTACAGTAATTAATAAGTTGACATATAGCTATTTTATACATGAAGCAATCAGAAATTATTTCTAATGGTTGAACATTAAAAAGTTTAGATTAAAATAAATATATAATTGAATTAATTTTACATATTAGCTGTTAAAAGCAAGAAAGATAACCATTAAAACTAGCTTTGGAGCCAATACTAAACTTGAGAATGTGTGTTCTGGTGTTGTCATTGTAATTATTGTATTATTTGAATGTCATAATTTTTAGTGTACATTTTGTTCTCAGTGAACAGGAGAGCAGGCAATAGGCAAGATGATGAAGCATACACATCTTACTACAACCGTTTGAAAGAGAACATCAAACAGTCAAACATGTATATAAGGAAGGATGTTCGTGGTGATGGGAACTGTTTTTTATACTGCATCCAAGATCAATTTGAGAGGCTGGGTTTAGCAAAACGATCTAGTGCACAACTCAGGGCTGATTTAGTGGACTACTTGCGACATTTGGTAAGTATTCAATTATTCCATAGTGTAGTTCATAGTATTTTTATTTTACACATTGTAATATATTTAATATGGCCATTTTTTCCAGGATGAAAAAGACCCATTGATTAGCCTTGTAGATGACAAATACCTAGATGAATTGAGTAAAGACGGTACATTTGTTGATGAAGTAGCAGTGAGAGGGATGTCACGAATATTAAATCACGACTTTCAAATTGTGACGAGTCAGAGAAAAAGCACAGAGCAGGGTTACTTGGTCACAACAATTCATGAAAGTTCCAATCCAGATGGTGTAATGTTATTTGGTCATATAGGAGAGCTACACTATATCAGCTTAGGTAAGGGGTAGTAGTACAGATGCACCACACAAACACACCCTTCAACATGTTACACATTTCCAGAATTAGTTACAGTAGTGTATTTCACATGATATCTATATTATAAGTACACTGATTTCAAAGTCAACCGGCACAATGCAACCTAAATGCACTCAATAAACGTTTGTGTCTCAGACTTACTGGTCTCAAAAAGTCTTACAATTTTAAACCTCATTATTCACCACACTTTTACTTTTACACTTTTAAAAGTAAATGAATCTCTGTTTTATAATTTTGTTGTATAAGTTTATTGTTCAAGCATTTCTCATATGTTCTCATTCTGTAACTGGTGGGCATTCCACCGATAATTAAGATTGTTAACACAGGTAAAAAATTAATTATTGTGCTATTTTTAACTTGCATGTTAGGTCTTGCTACACATAAAATTGATTGGAGGAATCATGTTTAATTAATATACTTTGCTGTATATCTTATTAAAATTTTCTCTATTGCAAGCATACATGATACAACATGGCATGAATTACAATAGTAGCCAAGAAATACATTTTTCTAATGAAGCTTGGACCCTTTCTTAACCATCCCCACTCCTACACCTAAACAATACAATAATTAATTAAATAATCCAAAAAAATGGGTAGGTCGGTTTAATGGATTTTTTTTACCAATATTGTGATTATGCATAAAAAGTAGAAAATACACAAAAAATACAACAAATATATATATATATTCAAAATCAAAATTTTACAAAATAAAATCCATAGCAGTCAAAGGCTGAATTGAGGGTTTTATTTACAATTAAAAATGTACAAAAACATTATTAACAATTACAGTTCAATTAAACAAAATTACAATTCCATTATAATAATAATAATAATAATGGATATTTATAAGGCGCCAGTATCCGCATGGTGCGCTCATGGTGCCAGAGCCAAGCAAGACAGAAAAAATATGAAAGTAGAAAATTGGAACGAGAAAGAGAATAATTAATTGAGGAAGTGCTGGTCGAACAGATGTTTCTTTAGTCTGGACTTGAATAAAATGATGTTTTCTGCTGACCTGATGTGTATGGGCAGAAAATTCCAGATTTTGGGAGCAGCAACAACATGCTAGTCCTGTGATTTCTGACAAAGAAATTTGTTTTCAATTAACTACAAAAGTACTATTAAATGATAAAATCCTTAGTATACATGTGAAATGAAAATCTACTAACAGCCTATTAGTGTCTACAGAAATAGGGCTTTATGTCTGCTAGAAACTGTCTATATCTACTAAAATATTTTGGTATGGGCATCGAGCCCCCACTTCACATTTGCAGCCCCGGTGTCAAAAACAGTACTAATTAAAAAGTATATCTTAGGTGTTATAAATGTAAATACTTTATTAAATATCTGTAGTTGGTTTGATACAATAACAAATTTGTTTTATTTTTTTGGTTTTGTACAGAAGATTGAATAATTTGGATTTAATGTTTGAAACATCAACACAATTTTTTGACTTTCTACACAGGTAATGAATTTGGATTACAATCACCAGCAAAGCCCTTAGATTTGCCAAGCAAAGAAGGTATGGATATAAAAACAGATTTATTCATTCTTTGTTATTCAATAGCAGAAAATATTAGTAGTAACTGTGGTATGTGCAGGGCATCTGCTTCATTAACTATGACAAATATGCCTTGTTGAAATTTAGTTAATGTTGCTATAGCTATTATGATCAGAAAAAATAACTGGAGTGGTAGTAAAATTCCAGTCAGTTCACACACAAGCAATAAATACCAGTACCCAAAAACTAATCATTTATGCTGAAAATGGGGATGAGGATATTAATGATGATCATTATAATGGAGATGATTATGGTGATGGATGATGATAACTTGACTCTACAGGGAGAAATTGCTAATTTTGTGGATGTGGATTTAGCTCTATTTGTATGTAAATCCAAAAATGGAAATGAAATGAAATGATGAGTATAATGAACTGAAAATGGATTAGTCAATAAAATATTTTTTTTAATATAAAATACATGTAAATGAAATATAATACTATTCTACTAAAAGTGAGATAAAAATATGTTAATGATTATGTACAGTAGTGTCAAATAGCTAAATGACTATACAATGCTAATGTGAGCATAAATGTATAATATGAAAATAAATACTTCTCAATTCAAAAAATATCTCTATATAAGTAATAGCAGAATTATATTATTGTTGTTTGATTCTCTATTCCAGACATAATTATCAAAGATTCCTTGATGAAAACGCAACAACAAATATATAGGGATTTAAAAAGAATGACACCATCAATCTGGCATAAAAATCATGTTGTAGATATTGCAGAAACATTTACTGAACTCATCTTACATCAATCAACAAGAAAAGGCAATAGAGAACCAAAAGACAAAGAAAAGGAAGAAGAACAAATAGAACAAGAACAAGTCAAGTCGACATGTATAATGAAGGCAGGTAAACCTGCATCATTAACAGAGGTATTAGATCTTATTAAATCAACAGATGCGTGTAAGGTATTAATAACAGGGAAGGGAGGAATGGGCAAGACTACTCTCCTTAAATATATTGCTTATCAGTGGGCTACTGATGATGAACATGTCTTTGCTGATAAATTACTATTTCTGATGAATATCAGGGAAATTAAAGCATGTGTAAAGTTCTTGGACATGATTATGAAAAAAATTGATTCAAATGGAATAATTATAAAGAATAATTTGAATGATAATTCAGTTGAAAATTTCCTGGTCAAACATGATAATGAAATAGTAATTTTGTTAGATGGATATGATGAGTTAGAAAGGGATGCTAAAGACCCATTAGATCTATTTAAAAGAACTGAATTGCAAAAAAGCACTGTGGTGATAACATCTCGACCTGACAACACAGCTGATTTGGTTAAATGCTGTGATGTACACATTGAAGTAAAGGGATTCAGTCCAGGAAACATAAAGAAATATATTCACAAATATTTTAAATCAATTGGTGCATCCGAAGTTGGTGAATTGCTAATAAAAGAGTTCAGGCTTAATTCGGAGTACACATGGCATTGGGGTGTTGATCACGAAGAAGCATTTGAATTGTGTTCATCTCCACTGTTATTGCTTCATATTTGTACCATATGGAAACAAAAAAGTCTTCTTCCCACATACTTGCCAGATCTCTTCAAGGAAATCATTTGTTGTACTTTAAATCAATACCTAAACAGGACTGGCAATGGAACTGCAATTGCTAATTTCGACAGAATTCCAGATAAATATGTGTCTGCCCTTTCAGCTTTAGGGGGATGTATGTATGAAGGACTAAAGAAAAATGCACTATCTATTGACAAATATGTTTTGTCAGAGATTGCAAATAATAAAGATGTAGTAGATTTAGCACTGGATTTTGGATTTGTTTATGAAGATAGCCCTATTGATCCAGGTGATACGAGGAAAATGTACACTCCACCACACAAGTTAATTTCAGAGGCACTAGCCGGGCTGTACCTGTCTGCACGAATTCAGAAAGGGAGTGCAGCGTTTCACTCTGCTAATAAAATTGAGGAAGATCATTTGAAAGCAGAGGAGTATGAGGTGATAAGATCTAATGAATATCTACATATGACAAGAGTGTTTACAGTAGGATTTCTTGGTGATAAAGCTGGTAAATTGCTAAAACATTGGTTCATAAAGAGGGCCACAAATTTTTACTCAATAGCACAATGTTTCAGACATGTGAAAGATGAACATGAGCACCATGTACTACAGGAACTGGATAACAACAATGAAATGAAAGCATGCTGTGAGCAAATATGTCAGTCATTCAGAAGAATTCATAATGACAACGACATCAAAAATATGCATTTATTCAAACTTATGCGTTACATTGAATGTGAGTATGGGCAAGAATATGAATTTGAACAGGCGGCAATCTCTATTATAGATACATCCAGTGAAGAGTCTTTAAGAATTTCATGCAGAGATTTTGTACACAGCTCAGTTGCAGCACAAGGAGCTTGGCCAACAGAACATTTTTTTGGATATATTTCAAATTGGGGAGATAAAAGAATCAATATTCTTTCAGCTGCGATGAAAAATATAGATATGACATATAATCAAAGGGAAATCAACTTTAAGGATTTTGAAGTTAGTTCTTCATTTTTAATTCATCTCTTAAAACATGCAAGAAACCTATCTACCATAACATTCTGTATAACTTCTGTACTCAGTGAAGTTATAAATGAGTTACACAAAACTCACACTAAGTTGAAATTAACCACACTTATTATTAATGATCTCCGCGATACTGATGAAGGTTTACTAGAAAAACTGTTTGAAGTGGCTCCTGAACTAAAATATTTAGAAGTAGACTGTTGTACACTATCAAGCAATATTGTTAAAATGATGAAATATTGTTATAGGATGAATGTAGCATTGACATTCTACGAGCTTGAACTGTGTCAAAATTTAAACCTTTCAGATATTGATGGTGAATCACTTGCAGCATTAATATGGGTAGATAGTGGGAGGATTGGGGAAATAATTTATGATGATAATTATTATTATTATTCTGATGATGGTTATTGTGCTTCTGATTTTTGCGGTACTTTCAGTTGGAGAAAATATTCTCTTACAGCTGATAACCTACAAAGGCTGGTTGAATCAGATGTAAATATGAGACCGAATTGGATAAGGATAAATTTGAGTAAGATTAACCTATCTTCAGTCAGTGGTAGAACATTAGCTTGCCTTCTTAAGATTTCCCCAGACCTGAGGCATATTGACATGAGTTATTGCAGTTTATCAGGTAGTATTGTTAATGAAATGATGGAGGAATGTGGTAGGATGAATATAGTATTGAAAGACAAAATGCTTGAACTAGATGGCAATGACCTTTCAGATATTGATGGTAAATCACTTGTAGAGTTAGTCAGAGTAATTCATCCTCCTTATAATAAGCATTATGGTGCTTTTGAACCTTTCGGATGGAGTGATTATTCTTTTTCAGTTGATAACCTACAAAGGCTGGTTGAATCAGGTGTAAATATGAAACTAAATTGGATAAGGATAGATTTGAGTAAGATTAACCTATCTTCAGTCAGTGGTAGAACATTAGCTTGCCTTCTTAAGATTTCCCCAGACCTGAGGCATATTGACATCAGTTATTGCAGTTTATCAGGCAGTATTGTTAATGAAATGATGGAGGAATGTGGTAGGATGAATGTAGCATTGGAAGACGAAATTCTTGTTCTAAAGGGCAATGACCTTTCAGATATTGATGGTAAATCACTTGCAGAGTTAGTCAGAATTCATTGTCCTTATGATAAGCATTATGTTGCTTTTGAACCTTTCAGATGGAGTGATTATTCTCTTTCAGCTGATAACCTACAAAGGCTGGTTGAATCAGGTTTAAATATGAGACTAAATTGGAAAAGGATAGATTTAAGTAAGGTTAACCTATCTTCAGTCTGTCTCTTATACACATCTAGATGTGTATAAGAGACAAGGATAGATTTGAGTAAGATTAACCTAT